GGTTCACCTGCGACGATGCCGGTTGTGTGTGAGGGGAGGGGGAATGGGGGATAGCCGCGCGGGAGGAGGTGCACTGGGGACGTGGTTGTCGGATGCGCGACTGCAAAAATCCCATCGGGCCAATGGCTGAGCGGATGAAATTGCGTTACTTTCGTGCGATATATAGCAAGATGGGTGTGCCCGTTTGGTGGAATTGTGCTCCAGGGGTGAGAAAACTATGAAGCTCATCAGGCCTTCGGTCCAACGAGTCGTATTGGGCCAAAACAAGACCGGACTGTAATATTTTCGGTCCTATTTTCACAGACCGGATTGGCTGATATTTTTGTCGGACCGAACTATTTCGGTCCCCGTTCCGGTGCATGGGCAGGCTACCGAACTATGCGAGCTTCTCGAGGAACGAGTGAGAGAGACAACAAGGGAGGTGTGCAAATTTCTCGATGAGGCAGAGGGTTTCTCAACCGCTGCCGGAGGAGCGGGTGGGGAATTTTCTTCGGTGTAGTGTGTTCATCTCAATGAAGAAAGGGATAAGCACATGGGAGGAGATAGCGTGCGAAGTCCATAAGGGGGGCGCATGCGCAAGTGTGACACAACCGATCAAATCGGCACGTCATTCTAACATGTCGTGTGCACCTGGCGGGCCAATGATGTTGAAATTTGGGATGGAGCAATGCTATGCACACGACACCATATAGACGATTTGTGCACGACAATCAAATCTGGCCGTGCATGAATGGCAAGAGACACCAGTACATGGCTAGATTGGTCTTCGTGCAATAGTCGTCCACAGCATTTGTCGTGTGTACAGCATTTTCCTTTGGGATGGGCCTTAGGTCCATATAGCAATTTATGAAAATCTCTAAGGTTCCATGTGAGTTTTATTGGCACTAGGTGTAGTGGAAAGTTTAGTCCCACCCCGGAAGTGAAAAGAAGTTGGACCTTTTTATAAGAGTTTGTCTTCTACATGCTATTGTAGCTTGAGAAGAGAAGAGGCCCTCGCGCACTCCTCCTCCGCCGCCCACCGTGCCGCGGGTTACGGGAATGAGTCGAGCTCACACCTATGCGCTTATTTTTGCCAGTCACTAACG